TTCTAGAATTTTTGTAAGCTGATGAATATAGAACTAAAAACAGTGAAACATTTTCATAACAGACATTTGCTCTTTTGTTAAAGACTAGCTAAAAGCTAAGCACAACCAAAAGATGCTAACATGAGAGAATCATCAGTGCGTAAAAGAATCTAACTGAGCTTTATTATAAACGTACGAGTAAACTGGTCTTATGTGGATTTTATTTTTTTCCTATTTCACCTCTTATTAGCAAATTATTTATTACCCATGCTGCCACCTTATAATGGTATTGCAAAACTCTACATTTGTTCCCAGCCTGTTTGAAATGTGAATAATTTACATTTTATATTTAACCAGGCATTTACTTCAAATTCATCTAACTTATCAAAACAGTAACAGCTTATAACTATTTTTAAACAACTTTGTACGATAGAACCTGCTAGATGGTAAAACCATCAGTCTTGGGTAGAAGATAAAAACCAATAAAACCTTTCAAGCTTAATTTGTGTAAGCATGTGGGAGAAACTACTGTAGTAGTCCAATAAAAGTTAAATAAATAAATGAGACCTTGTGTTTGATTGAATATTGCAGACTGTAAATGGAGCAAGGATCATGTTTAGAACAACTCACAAAACGCTGGTGAAGACTCTCGGTCATCCAGGACATGGTAAATTCAAAAAAGTGCAAGACAAAAACAACCGGACTATTTGTAACAGAAGACGTTTCGCTCCTCATCCGAGGATCTTTCTCAATTCAAAGAGCAGAGAGTGAGAGATACAGGTTATAAAGCTGAGATAAGACACACACATCTGTAGATTGATTTATCACACCTTAACAGTAGGGGTTTGTTAAGGTCTTTGTTAATCTCATTCACAGATGATGATCATTCTGTTACAAATAAAGTCCAGTTGTTTTTGTCTTGAACTCTTTTGAACACCTCACAAAGACCAGCTGTACATTACTGATTAGATTAAATTCAGGTTTGTCTTTCATAGATTTCAGGGTTCAGACAGTGTACCGTTTAGACACAGCTTATTACAACTAGGCCCGTCACGAAAAATTCTGCTGCGCGATTAATTGTCTCTGAAAATTTTGAGATAAATGATAATATTGTTAAGTTTGACAATAATTAGTAATTGTCAAATTTAAGAAGAAATGTTGGTTAATTTTGTGTGTGGTACCTTTTTTTGACCACTGGATGGCAGTATAAGACTGTTGGAACTGAAGGATGGATAGTGAGGGAGAAGGGGTTCTCTGCAGACCAAAAGTGGGCATTTCTGGAGAATAGGCGTATCTAGAGGGCAAACACTGATTGACATTTCAAGAGGGCTAACACTGATTGGCAGCTGTATTTGTTGCTCTTTAGGTAAGTTACACGTCAGCTCTTTATAAAACTGAAGGTTTCTATGAACCAGCGTTCTATCTGCTGTCAAACACAAGAAGATTCTCTTTAGTTCTGTAGCTGCACCTGACACAGGTTGTCTTGAGTGTGGTCTGGGTACAATGAAATATGAAGCATCTGAAGTGAAACCTGCTCCCATTTGTCAAAAAGTCTGGTTTCAATTAAACATCATGAGTCCTGTGACGAGATAATGACCCAAAACAAACGCTAAAAACAAAATGTTCTCTTTAGAAGTTCTTCTATGAGATCTGATCTATGAGAGAAGCTGAAACATGGAGTAGGACTGACCCTTAAAGTGTGAGACAGCTGAGGAAGTTAACCAGTAAACAGAAATACCTGCTCCAGTTGCAGAAATCTGACAGAAACTGACAATCACTCATCTGCAGTGACTGATTTAAAAGTTGATCAAGAAAATATGAAGTTAAAGGAAACATCCTTTGTCCCAAAGCCAGTTTAAGTATCATTAATATTTTGGTTACTTTATTTTTCTTTCTTTATGAATCGATTGTAACTATTTTCACATTTTTTAACAACCAAAATATTGTTTTTTAATGTAATGGCTAGGTATTAAAAAACAAACCTAGCTCTCCCCACTACCCAGTTATGTTGCTCTTATTTTGAAATGTAACCAGAAGTTCTGTGTTAAGAGAGGCGGAAAAAGAAGTTATGGAGACGCCGCCAATGTTGAAGCTGAGACGCCGCTAATGTTGAACCGGTTAACACCATAGACATAATATGCCTGTGGTTAACACAAACGGCTTTTTTGTTGTTGTTGTTAAGCCTTTTTTTTGTCCAATCAGATGTGGCCCTCCAGACACGCCCATTTTTCTATTGTCCAATCAGATGAGGCCCGCCAGACACGCCTATTTTTTAATTGTCCAATCAGATGTGGCCTGCCAGACACGTCTATTTTCCTAGTCCAATTAGATATAGCCCCCCGGATACGCCTTCCGAATTTGTCTGCAGAGATAGCTACTTGTAGTGAGGGAGCGAGCAGCGTTTCTCTAAGAAAATGGGAGGGAGGGCCCTTGACGTGACATGGGCTGTCCTTCCGTTTTTCGGTTCTCAAACTGGCGAACGCCCGGTGTGGTTTGAGCTCTTTAGCATAGCATTGTTCATGCAAAGCTTTTAATAAAAAAAAAAAGAAACCAGTAAAGAAGTTCTCAGCTTCTTTTTTTAAGAGAAAAACAACTTTTTACACAAAGGCACGGGTTTCAACCGTGAATTTTGGAGCTTGGACAAGACGGAGATTCCCCCCCACCCCGAGGTCAGCCTGTTAGCTTAGTTTCGTAGTTTAGCCTTTAAGCTTAGCTGCTTTTAAAGATCCAAAAATGTGATTTTGGACGGTTAAAACAGATTTTAAAGAGAAAAGAGAAAGGGAGAGGTCAGTGAAGAGCACCGGAGTTGAGCCTTTTGTCATCCAGTGTCTTCAGTAGAAAGAGAGAGACATGAAGAAACGATAAAGCCGATAAATGAAAATGAGGTGGATAATTTTAATTTATCATGCGATTAACTGATTTATTGATTATTGCGACAGGCCTAATTACAACTATCAAAAATGACAGTGAGCTGATTGCATCTGTCTGGTTACCTTGCGAGCACTTGCAGTCAGTCCAGGAGACTTGGCAGACTTCTTCCTCGTTGACTGTGGTGACTTGTAGCTGCCAGCTCTAGCAGCAGAGGATTTACGGGCAGAGCTGCGCAGCTTATTCAAGTTTTTCTTCCAGTTGTTATTTTTTTGGGGGGTGTTGTCAATTGTGAACATCATCGACTGTCTCCGGTCAGCCTGAGATTTTTAGATACAAACCGTTAGTAAACTAGAGTACAATTTTAAATGTTCTCCTTGTTAGTTTTCATTCAGACACTGAACGTTTTGTTCAGGTGCAGAGGGTTTACTCACAGGAGTGAGGGCAGGTCGCAAATTACTGCTAACTGGTCCACTGCTTCCTTTCTTGTTACTGGGAGTTAGCGGACGAGGAAAGCAGCTGGCTCTTGTCTTTTTCTTCAAATTTAGATAAAGTCATACAAAAAACAGATGGATGTGGTAAAATAAACACACTTTAGCACTAGAAAATAACGTAGACAGTCCAAAAACTTAATATCTTATCAGAAAACACTCAGTCATGTCAAAATTAGAAACCACTGTTGGTTTTAAAACGTGAAAAAACTGCAGTTTGATTTACTGCAAACCAACCTCCGGTGACAGCTGATGTACAGACAGTGTGGATGAGGATTTGCCCTTAAGACCTTTCTGCTGAGAGGAGCTGGTTCTGTTAGCTGGCAGCTGGCCCGGCATCAAGGAGTGGCGATGAGAACGAGTCCCAAACGTCGCCTGACCCAACATGACAGACTGGCGATGAGACGTGAGCGAGTCCTGCAGCTGGCCTGGAAGCATCGATCCCCGTCTGATCGTGTCAGAGGGGTCCCCGTGGCGGAGCTCTTCGTCTGTACAGAAGAAGGCAGTGCTCCCTCCGGTCTTTGGGAACAGAGGGATTTCATAAGAATGAAGGTATAGAATTGTAATCTAGTATTCAAACCACCTCAGAGTTTCTCTGAACCTGTCAGGTTTCCCTCTCTTCTCACCTCAAACTCCACAGGGTAGCTGCTCTTCAGGTGGGGGAGGCAGGCCTTGTTCCTGGACTGAAGCTCCGCGATCCTCTGCCAGTCCTCTGGCCCCCCATCAGGTTCGTTTTCTGCTCCCACACAGAACGTGCCGGTGGCTGGAGGTGGGTCAGTGCAGGAAAAAACAGAATAAAGTATTTTTTTTAAGTCATTAACAGTTTTAGTCAAAGTTGAAGATTTTCAAACATTACACATTTAAACTTAAAGTATAAAATAAATAAAGGAACAAATACTTATTGAAAGTATTATAGGCTTATTACTCTGTGAATGGATAGTGCTTCGTCTGTAGCCTGGCAGTCCGATGAGCTGGTCGTTGGCAGCACCTGTCTTACTCACTGGTAAGTCAGACAGCTCAGGTCTTACAGAACGAGCACAGGAGAGTCTTCGGTGAGAGGACGAAGACCCTAAGCTGTAGAACGTTTCATCCTCCTCACAGGAACTTGACCGTTTCTACAAATCATAATTTATAGGTTACTTTAAATGACAGGGATAGTGCTGAGGAGATTTGAAACTTATGAAGTGTTTAGTAGGATGGTTAAAACATGGAGGCATTAGTGAAGCCTGAACAAATCCTAAGGGTTTGGTTGGAACGCTGATCTTTTCAATTAAACTGGAAAAAAAAAGTTTCAGACAACACGTAAAACAATTTTGTGTGTGTGATTGAGAGAGAGGGAGAAAGACAGACAGAGAGTCAGAGAGAGAGAGTAAGTCAGAGAGTCGGAGAGAGAGTCAGAGAGAGAGTGAGTCAGAGAGAGAGAGAGAGAATCAGAGAGTGAGTCAGAGAGTGAGTCAGAGAGAGAGTGACTCAGAGAGAGAGGCAGAGTGACTCAGAGAGAGAACGAATCAGAGAGAGTCAGAGAGAAAGAGTCAGAGAGAGTCAAGAGAGTCAGAGAGAGACAGACAGAGAGAGTCAACGAGAAAATTAGAGAGTGAGAGTCAGAGAGAGAGAGTCTGAGAGAGTCAGAGAGAGAGAGAGTCAGACAGAGAGTCAGAGAGAGTGAGTCAGAGAGAGAGCGAGTCAGAGAGAGAGAGTCACAGAGTCAGAGAGAGAGTCAGACAGAGAGAGTGAGTCAAAGAGAGAGTGT